GAGAAAAAAGAAAGGCAGAAGAAGAAGGAGGACGAAGAGGAAAGAGGGGATAAAGTTGATAAAAAGAAGAAAAGAAAATAACCTACAAAGGCCATTTTATCAAGTAGTAAAAGAAGAAGTAGGATAAATTAGAAGAAACAGACTAATCATAACAAAAATAAGTAATCATAAAAAAGACGAACATATTAAATACCAAAGAAATGACAATGACAACAGCAATTTAATTAAGGCATATAATTGACGTTCTGGCTTATATAAATCATATCATATGCGCCTCACACCCATATCCATCGACATTCGATCACCCTTCCATTTTGAATTTTAAGTACAATAGATGCGCGGAAATTGTATTGAATTAACATATCCCTTTCATGACATTTAAGAAGTACGTCCATCTCTCACTTTCAAAAGAATTTAACTTTTTTGCTCGGGGACATTATAATCCTAAGTGACTTTCCTTGTATCACTGAACCCGCTGCCGCTCCGGAATGTTGAGCAAAGGAAAGGCAAGACTAGAGGAACGGTTTTGTGCTGATGATATATCAATTGCGATTTATGTATGTATGTATATTTATCTATCTATCTGTGTGTGTGTGTGTGTGTGTGTGTGTGTGTGTGTGTGTGTGTGTGTGTGTGTGTGTGTGTGTGTGTGTGTGTGTGTGTGTGTGTGTGTGTGTGTGTGTGTGTGTGTGTGTGTGTGTGCGTGCGTCATGTGTGCGTGCGTCCATGTGTGCGTGTGCGTGTGCCTGCGTGCCTCTCACTTTGATATTAATTGTGAAAGCTTGGAATTTCGTTTTCGTCAGGAATGTTTAGCTTTAAAATCGCAGGACAAGGTAATCAGTAGCATTCACTGCATAACCATAGAGAGTCTGTAACTTATCAGCTTAGGTTTATTTATTTAATCTAAAGTTATTACTCCATATAATGTTACATCTGTTTTACGTGGAAGTAACAGACTGAATACCTGGGCTGTTATTGGGTTATCGTAATCGTTCGGTTGATATTTTGGGTCTGCATCAAAATGAATAATTGATTAGAGACATACTAATATATGCAGAGAACTGAATGAAAGAATAATACAATCATTGATTACCTTAATCAATAATGCATTATTCATGTGTGTTAATAACGTATATTATCTAGTTCCTGTTTACTTTCTGTTAGAAGCGGTCATTTAGCTGGAGAACTACCAGAAGGTCAACAAACAAGGTCATATGCATTGGATTTTTTTCTTACAAGATTTGCGAGTTATTGACAAGTATTGACCTAGTTTATACCGTTCATTGAGAGAGAGAATGCTGACCTGGTGTCATGTACATATCCGAGATTCCAGTCTTAGTTATTTTAATGATATAATTTGTCTCTTGGCTTTACGATGGGTTATTTAAGCCTACTGTAGATCAAGAACAGCTTATGTTAAAAGTGAATGGAAATCTACATTTATATCTCTACTGTGAATACCATTGGTCATGCAAAGTTCAGATTATCCGTACTTGTCTAGTTCACAAATCTATCTGTGCACGGATGGTAACGTATGTTTTTCTATTTCATCTAGGCGTGCAGTGCTTGATGTCTGACTTGTATGTAAAGGGAAAAAATAGCTTTACCGTGTTCATTTGAATGTGAAATGGATCCAACTCTCTGTATGTCAGCTTAGCTTTGTTTTCCAACAATATATGTGGCTAGAATTTCCAAGTTTCAGTATTACAGATGTTAGTTTATTTTTTGCTAGCTCTTACAAATAACTGATGTAAACACTGAAAAAGACAGCATTCCTGTTGCTCTGAGAAGCAAAGAAATATCATTAATCCTTGGAAGAGGAGCTTAACACTTTCTCCCTCTCATATCCTCAACTTTTTACATCTCGACACCACATTTCCCTTCCTTAGGCATATTACTAGGATAAGACTCCAAACACACTCTATTTAAGTTCATTTTATTTGACCAACATACTTTTAAGTACACATGAATGGCTGAGATTAACAACTCGGACAGACCTCTCTGGGTTAAGAAGGGAGATTCAAACCGAGGCCTTGATGAAGCTGTGAACCACTCCATCACACTGTTGAGATCACAGATGGCATCCACTGTGAATTGTGTTACATTTGGTAATATCACTTAACTTAGTTACACCATCTATGACTGTATGTGACATAGGTAGTTCTTTTTAATAATCATTTCAGTGCCTAGAAGAAAAAGATTTTTAAAAATTCATAACAGAAGACAATATAATAGAACAGGAATGTTTTACAAGGTGAATAAGTCAGCAATGTGACTTTGGATACACAGAAAACTTTCCTTTTTGAGACTAAGTTCTAAGGTAAATTCCAGTTTCACTTACTATTCAGTCTTTTTCAAACTAGGATAAAAAATATTTCTCTCATATAATCACCAAAGGTCATATCAAGAAATCAAAACAAATAGAAGCCAATATAAAACAATACTTTAAAAAATGTCAACTCATTTTATGCACTTGCCCATTAGCAGTACTGTGAATGTGCACATTTGTTAAGTACATTTATCTACTGTTGGACCTTGGGTAAAGGGTATTACTCATTAACCGTATCATGTTAACATTTTTAAAGGGCACTTCCGTCATTTCTCATGGAAATTGTTACTAACAAAATGAAAGAAAAAACACTTGTTCAATGGATGTTTAAGATTAGCATCCCACATAAACTAACACTCAATTGTTTTATTTTTTTCTATCACAGTTACTATTTAGTAAAGTTAAGTCATTGAAAAGTATGTGCCCTTATCATATAAAGGCAGGTATACCTTTAAATATCACGTTGTTACAATGTATCAAACCCAAGACAAAAAATATAAATTAAATCAAATCTTAGAACAAGACAAACTTTATTGGCAAGATATATCATGGAATCGGAGATCACACTATTACCCTAAAATACTTAAAACTCACTAACGAAGTTGAAACAAGAGTTCTATAGGCACTGCATCTTTGCTGACCCTATATGCCTTGGAATGCCTATTTGTCTATGGAAGTTATGCTTGAAAGGACTCTATATGGTGCTACAGTAAGACAGTTAAGACAGACTGGTGTTATCTGAAGTAGGAATTAACATATTTAAACTGTCCCTTCTTGCAATACTCATTCAGGTCTCAAAGTATGCACATGCCAGAAGATTCATCCTTTTGTTCGTTTCCCCCTTTGGAATTCCCATTAACTAGATGTTATTTGTATACAAAGAAGACACTGAATGCTTAAGATTTGATATGATACCTTTTTTTTTCTTTGCTCATTCATTTCAGCTCAATTACTATTGCAGAGAGATGACAGGATGTTCATATATGTACAGAGCCATACTTAGAAGAGAGAGTAAGCCTTTGTTTAATTTCTTTTGCCAGCTAAAAAAAAGAAAGAAAAAAAGAAAAAGAAAAAGAAAAAGAAAAAATATTCAGGCCAAGAAAAATAAATTAACCAAGTTTTATTGTTAACACGACAAAATGACAGTAAATGATTCCATAATCCTGGAACAACACATATCAAACCACAGCCACATGAATTCTTATGTAAACAATATCATATGGTAGCAGCAGTGATGAATGCCAGTTATCTGATCTTGCATTTATGTTAATCAAAGCATATGCAGCCTGTTTTTAACATATGGTTTATTAAGACAAATGGTATAGTAAAAAATAAACCTTTATGAGATATCTACACAATGTCACTGCAAGTATTAAGTTTGTAAATGTAACAATATTTCAACACACATGAGAAATCTGAGGCATAGGACGTCCTTCCACTGGATTTCTATGCACGGTATTTCATAGAAGATTCTGCTGCACTATTTGCAAAAACTTTTTAGTGTCATGATGTAATATCCTTAATATGACAATAATTTTTTATTTTTATTTTTTTCCCCCTTGAGTCTTCAGTAATGTAGTACCATCTAAAAGTACAGCAACTTTGAAAATGAAAACATTTTTTTAAAACTATATAAAAAGTAGAAACTTCCTATGATTATAGCACACAGTATCATGAGAAATGAAAATTGTGATCTCCACCTATGGTATTAACCTCCTGTGTATCATGTGAATGTCACTGGTATGTGTTTCCTACAATAAACAAAATATATTACAATCTTGTCTCTTGAAAATATACTTGTACACTCCACTTGGAAATTTCAGAGCACTGAGTATCCTTTTAACTTAAACCTATCATTGGTAAAGTGCTAAAATTACAAAATATAATGCCATTATCATTCCACCTTCCATAATTTCTGATTCATAGCTTTATACATGATTTGAATGATGCTGCATTTACTTACTACAACTGTTTTTTTTGTTTTTTGTTTTTTGTTTCTGTTATGCATAAAACATTGATTTCCATTCACAAATATGGTGACTTCAGCTGTCTAGAAAACACACAAGTACCGTTCCTGCTCTGAGCAAGGTGAAACAATAATTGAATTATGTATGTATATTAGTCCCTGAACTAGTTTTGTTTTCAGTCCCCTTTAACATCTTATCCTAAAACGGCGCATAATTAAAGATAAGCATCCTGATGATCCTTCAGACAGTGGTTGAGCCACCACGAAAGCCCTGATTTGGAATGCTATGTTTCCTTTTATTATAAATCTTGGGTGTTTGTGACAAAAGAAACAACACAAACAAAAACAAAATAAGCTAGTGTTGCTGCATGTTTCATGTTATCTTGAGTTGGGAAAAAAATAAATAAGTAAAATAAAGATATTAAACTTTAAAAAGATCCATAGGAAATGAGAGAGATGAAGCAAAACAAACATGCACAACTGATGTCTGATCTAAGATGAAACATCATGTACTGTACATTTCTTGAAAATGTTGACTCAGAATACTGATAAAAAAAATTAAAAGAGCTTGAAAAATAATTAATGAGCAAAAGAGAGAAATTAATATTGGCAGTGGAATTAAAATATCAACCCTCTTTGATATTCCCAGGCAATATAATCACCTGCTTATATTAATAAGCGTTCTTTAGGTAAAGAAACATCTCCATCAGTCCAGACTATATTACATTGCATAATCATTTGATAAACCAAAGAAATTAATAAATAGAACAGTAACAAATCTATATGCAAGAATCGTAAAAGTTTCCTAAGCTAATTTTTGCACAAATATAGTTAATATAGCTAATGGATATATGACAGGCTTACACGCTACACAAATTTAATAGGATTTATTTTTTTTGTTAAGTGACCAGTCCCCCCCCCCCTCTATATGACTGTTGTTGCATTTATATGGCATGCAGTGATCAAAATATATTCAAAATACAAAGTACTAGACTTTTTTCCCGAGGACAGTCAGCTGTTCACTTTTCTTTATAAACTTGTAAAATCAAAAGTGACTCCTCAAAAGTTACCCTTCAAAAACAAAAACACAAACAAAAATGGAGGAAGATGACACCGTCTCACGATTCACAGAGATATTGGATACCTGAGGGTATTTATTTTCTTTTTTCTTTTTTTTTCTCTGCTCCCCCTCTTTTCCTTTATGACATCCTGTTCCAGAATTAGAGACTATCCGATTCTCTGCCACGCTGATGAAGCTCCCTGTCAGACGCACAAGCATTGGTGTTCCCGTCCCAAAAGGGGTCATCGCTTTCGGGCGAGGTGTAGTTCCCCTCGTGCCAAAACGGGTTGTCGCAATCGGGCAGGTCAGAATTCATATACCTAAAATCCTCCTCGTCGTCGTCATCCTGCCATTGTGAGATACTGGATTCTGAGTCTGAGCACTCACAATCTGCCGTGTAGCATGACGACTGGAGCTCTGGCAGGGCTAGGTTATGTGGCCTAAAATTACCCACTCTATTGTTCTCTGGTAATTGCTGGATACCGCGTGGCTGCTTTTCCAAATCGCTATTTCTATGCTCTAGGGGGACACTAGGGTAGAAGAACTCTCTGATGCTCTCGCTATCAGAGTCATCAAAATCTTTGGCATTTTCGTACTCGGAATCACCATCCTCGTTCACGTTTTCATACTCGGAATCGCCATTTTTGTTTACATTCTCGTAATCAGAGCCATTGTCATCTTTGGGGTTGCTTAGCCTGTAGTACCTAGCTAGTGTCTTCTCCAGGTTGATGCTGCCCTCGGAACTGCGGCCAGAGAGAGTGCAGCTGCTCACGTTATCGTAATAGGTAACTGGAAAAGGAGATAATCTGTCAGATTCCATGAGTAAAGGGTGCGATTTATACCAACACAAATCCTGTGAAACATCTCCTTGCTTCCAACCTGGGACACAGAAACATGCATGCAAGCTTTTGCACCCAACTACACACACAAGCATCCATACGCTCATCATATGACTGTTATGAAATAAAGCAAAGATACAAAATGTGTTCCATTCCTTTAAAAACCAGAACATAAAATACAATACTTTTCCATATTTACTAAAATTACAAAATATCCCAGCATATTATACACAATAAATAAATCAAAAGATATTTCACTGCTCAGTCAGTTAATGAAATGGTCTATAATTCTTGCAGGGAGCCAGATATTGATGATAAAAATACCACAAGTCTACTTTGAACAAAGTGGAACGCAACTTATTTTTAACTCGGGAATAAATAAAAATATGAACAATTTTGCTTCAACTAACAAGGACACCATACAAAAAACATGCACATATATTAGAAATGAAAACAATGCCATTACTTTATATAAAAAAATAAAACAATACCATTACTTAACACAAACTTGAGTATCCATTGTATATTTTTAGAAACATTTTATCTTTACCTTGGCCTCACAATATACAGAATAACCAGCCCTTTCTTAATATACATATAGATGTGTGTCTTGTAAAGTCTTCAACAATAGCAAATATGGGAATAGGAAAACCACTAAAATCAATTACCTTACACTATATACTTCTGCACTGCTCAACAGCCTTTCTAGTCTCCTTAATATAATAGCTATTCTTATGTGTAACTGAATGAACTACAGTATTATCAACCTGTGATCATATACACAGTACTGTTCCCATGTCTTCTCCTGTTTGTCTGAACACTCCTCTTTAGAACAGTATTTCATGAAGGGAGAAAGGAAAGAACAGAACCAAGAATGAGAGATATAGAAAGAATACTGTATAAGGGAAAACAAAAAAAAGAAGCATAATTTTAGGTGAAATATGAGATGGGATGAGAAGAGAAACAAATAAGAAAAGAAAGATGAGAGATAAAACAAGATGAAAAATACAAACAAACTTGACAATGGCAGGACTAATTTTAACAGTCAAATATTGTATTTACTTTAAGGCCAAATTAGCAATTAGATTACGGAGAATAGGTCTTCCACAATTCTGTTAGAGAGATACATAGATGGTACACTTCAACAGCTTTCGACAATTCTGTGTTTTACAATACAGTACTTTTTCACAACACTAATAAATTTCTTACATATACATTCTTTCACATTCATATCACTAACATGTATTGCCATAACTGGAATTAACAATTATCAGTGACAATTTACTAATGACCAAAGCAGGCAATATAATATTTGTTCTACTGCCATTTCTCAGTTATTGCGTTGTTGAGTCTAATATCATTATCTATCATCCAATAAATGAGGTACATCAACTTATATTCAATTACATTTCATATTTAAAGACACAGTGATGATCTACATTTCATTGGATTGATGATACTGCTGCAGTAACATTCATTAGAACTTTTCTGGCAAGCATAATTTTTATAAATCAATGAAACAGTACCATTATCTCATTTCATGTATGTATTTTAAGCATATAAATTATTTCATTAGCTTACATTATCGCTAAACTTCCATTTTTTCATTTTAATAACTTCTCCCCTTTGCTGTTATTCATATAAAACTTTTGTAATATACTTGAATAAGTAACAAAAAACTAATCCTAAATGTTTATTCACTCATTCATTCATGCATACTTAACCCCATATCTGTTAAATGTTCATACAACATCCCTTAGAGCTAATGACTTACATTTAGAAGAGAAACTGAGGTCTAAGTATAAAAGCTACACATTTCAAGTGAAACAAATAAATACCCTACCATTCTTTTAACTAAACTAAAACATCAATATGGTTCCTACGACTGAACATTTGGGAATTTGGTTCAACTTCTATACCTACAACTGAGAGGTTGTGAGTCGGCTACATCTCTAAAGTCATTAATAGACATACATTTTTCAGATTTCTATGACAGTACATCAAAGTAGAAGACAATCTCTGTTCAAAAAATAATTTTGACCAGAACTACAGTAACCTCCACAAAGAGATTTCACATAAACATGGAGGAGTAAACTAACTCGTGTACAAAATATGGAGTGACATAAAGACAGGTGAACATGTGTACAATATGAAAATGTTGTACATATCATGATATTACATGAAGAGCAACCATTCACAAATACGAAACCAATAATACGTGAAAGGGAAAATACGACTCACCTTCACAGAAAATAAAACACGTGATGCTCTATCGTTAAGTCAACTGACAAGGATACAGACTGAAACCAGTATACCATACGACATCCAACTATAGTACATAAATGGCATTCCTCACACAATATCAAAACCTACAGAAACGAAAGGGTAGAAAGAAAAAACAAAAAAACAAAAAACAAAAACGATGAAGACTTTAGTAATGCTTCAGAATACATACCTCTCTAACCCAGCCAGGAAGCTCTGCTACAGACCTCCTACACGTGAAAAAATAAACAATTCAGTGGAGGGGGTTCTATACAAAAAAATAAATAAAAATAACAAAAATACAAAGCAGGAATAAATGCAAAAGAAAACCAAAAAAACAAAAAACAAAATGATATTGCAGAAAAAAAAATATTGCAAATCCAAAGGAAGATCTTACATTGGGAGGAAGGTGGAAACAGAAATCTTAGTCTTTGACACCACCAGGGAAGGGAAAGGAAGAGAGAGGGGGGTGGGGGGGAGGGGAGTAAATAACCATCTTTGTAGGAACATATGGGATAGTGAAGCCAAGTGTCTCAGACGCTCTAGACCTTTGAGAAAGTAATGACACTCTGACGACATTTTACCACCATCAGTAAACAGGAATACGAAAATGTTCAAACGGAAAATGACTAAAGACTTTCTACAAGATTTAGAGCTCTTTCCTACTTGCACAAGTCATATATTCTATCTTAGTCTAATATATAAAAAAAAGCTATATAAAATCATGAGAGAGAGAAAAATGTAAATATATTACTTATAGTAATAGAAATATTGGGCAGGGAAACCAGTTATATAAAATATGAAGGAACTGGCTATCTTGAAAGTTGGGGAGAAAAGTGAAATGCAGAATTTTCTTATAGAGGATGAAATGTCTTGCCTCTTCTGTGAGGGACTAAGCATATAAATATATGTATATATACATATATATATAAATATGTACAAGAAAATGTGAGCAAGCAACACCTTGTCTCAGGAGGCCTACCACAGAAAAAGAGAGAGAGAGAGAGAGAGAGAAAAAAAAAATAACAATAATAATAAAGAAAGAAAGAAAAGAAAAAGAAAAAGGAAATCACAGAGAAGGGAACTGAAAGCTAACAAACTCCTGTGACCATGTCAGGTCCAGCAGACATGAGTATAAATTCCTTTGAAACATACTGAAGAGGGTGATCTGGCATTTTTTCCTCTACTTTAAAGGACCATAGACAGAATTACATTAGAATTTTCTTTTCAAAAAAAGACAAAAAGCTGAATGCAAAACATACCATCATGAATTTTAAAACTAGTGACAAGCTAAGTGCAGAACAATATGGACTGATAAAAAACTTGGTTCTGCATTATATAATTTCTTGAAATATGAAAGAATCAATCAGGAGAAAGTTGCACGAAGTCTTCAAGCAAGTATATAAAAATGACTGATACTGAATATTGGCTATTTTACAGCCAGTGTGAAAGTATGGTGCAACCTCCAGGTAATCGATAGCAAAATCTCGAAACTCCAAGCAAGGAGGCACCATTTCTCTAAAAGCCTTTATCCCTTGAAAAAACCAATCACCCATCATTCAGAATAATAAAGGAAATTTTATATCAATCTTCCTCTCAAAATAAAAGAGACGTCACAGAAGTGTTATCGAATGCAGCTCTGAAAACTCGCCGCTCAATACCTGAGGAGGAGGACTGTGACGACTGCAGTTGAGTCTCACTACTGTCACCAGAGTCCGAGGCTGGAGAACAACAGGAGAACGAGGACGAATCGATGGTTATTGTACTTCTGTGGAGAGATAAGGCTTGGTTTAATAATAATAATAATAATAATAATAATAATAATAAAAATAATAATAAAATAAAATAAATAAATAAATATATATTATGAGAATAAAGGTTAGAAAAAATAAGACACAAATGTTCACATAAATTTCTCCCAATTTCATAATTTCAGTATCACACTTTTCAACACTGAAAGCTGAAAATTATGCGGAGGAGATAGCACTACAAGAAAAAGCCGCTGCCCTCTTCCTTTACCTGACTGAAGACATTGACTGTGAAGTGGAAGTTCTAGATGCTCCAACTGATGCTGACTGATCATATATGGACTCATCATCATCAACCTCATTTCCTATTCGTGAAGAACTCAGGGATGTGGCTGACCGCTGCATGCGTCTGACAGTGATTTTGGATTTGAGTTGGTGGAGAGAAAATCAAGTGTGTGTGTGTGTGGGGGGTGGGGGAGGGAGGGGGAGGGAGAGAGAGGGAGAGAGAGGGAGAGAGAGGGAGAGAGAGGGAGAGAGAGGGAGAGAGAGGGAGAGAGGGAGAGAGAGAGAGAGAGAGAGAGAGAGAGAGAGAGAGAGAGAGAGAGAGAGAGAGAGAGAGAGAGAGAGAGAGAGAGAGAGAGAGTCTAACATATACCTTAGCATGAAATGAATTTTTTGCCTTAAGGACTAGGGAGCATAACAGTTAACTTTATACAATTTACTATTCTCGTTAACCCAACGCTGATGGGTGAAGAAAATAAATAAAAATTTGTCCCGCTTCAAGCACTCTGGCACGTCTCCGTGGCATACAACTGTCCCCTGCTGACCAAGTGTTTGTTATGACACTGGTAGGAGAGGCCCATCAATATTGGGTTCTAAAAGGGACCATATAATCATAACAATGAAGAAAAATCAGACTATTCTAACAAATTAATAAACTCCACAACTTACATATGATCATTATCATTCTTGGTCCCCTGAGGAGTGAAGGAGAGTGATCGTCGTGTAGACTGTATGGCATTCTCATACACAAAGCTGTTTGAAGCAGTGGATATTGAGCTGTCACTCTCACTGTACTCTGTGATGAATTGTCTTGGGTTGGCTTCCTCTTGAGCTGTGTGCACATGACAGAGTTAAATGAAATGAAAAATAAAACGATGAGATGATATGGAATGAAAACAAATGCACACACACACCCCCTTTCTGTTTTTCTGAACTTTAATAAACTTCAGTGTTCAATAAGAACTGGTAAAATATATTACTGTCTTAAAAAGCAGTTGAGCAGAAGGAAAACGTTTCTATACTGAATTTCTAAGACCAAAAAACACACACACACACACACACACACGTAAAGAAAGAGATAAAGAGATTAATATACTTACAACATCTTATAATTTCCTCAAACACATAATCATCAATGTCACACTCAAGCTGGGTCCACTGGTGCGCCTCCACTTCTTCTAAAGTCATGCGAGCTTTGGGATCCTTTTGCAACATTCCATTGAGAAGGGCCGTCAATTCTGTCAGAGGATGAAATGACGCTTGTGGTGAATTCCAAGAGATTTGAAATATTGATGACACGAAAAAGTTTTACTAAACCCAATCACCTCAGATTCATATAATGTCCCCTGTAGTTTCTTGTGAATTTTGTTATATACAGATGGCTCCACATGTGCCCAGCCAGCAAGGAGTCAATCAGTAGGCCCTAGTGACTGATCCTGATTTCCTCTTCCTTGAATTGGCTGTAAATCCCCCCCCCCCCCCCAATACTGTTGATATCGATACTGTTAATATTCTTATTGATATTATGATTATTAAATTGTTATTAAAATCTTAGTAACATTAAAAAAAAAAAAAAAAAAAAAAAAAAAAAAAAAAAAAAAAAAAAAAATATATATATATATATATATATATATATATATATATATATATATATATATATATATATATATAATAATAATAATAATAATACAGAGGGCACTATCCAAAAATCTAGGAAAACGATAAACAGGTGAGATAGGTAGGACTAATAACTGACTCCTTAATGACTAATCACTTGTAGAGCCACCTATGTGTAAATACAATAAATGAACTTATATTACAGTGGGCATGGCATGTATTCTTGCCATCCATGCCGATTTGATTAAGAGGTTTCAAAGATCCTTTTTCCTGATCGTTACATACATGCAAAATTAACACTATATAAAATCGTGCTTTAAAATATACACTGCTACAAATTTTAATTTCATATGCATTGCACTTATGGAATTAAAAAGGTGTAACATCCATTATTCATAATGTAAAAAAAACAAAAAAACTAAAGCCTAAAAATGTACTATAATAAATCGTAAATGAAATAATAACTTCTAATTAACCCAATGCCGCTGCCAGGGGATCGCGTCATCACCATAGCATGAATGGTATGACCAGACATGTCCCCAGAAAACAGGACCGGAACACCATGTCTCATATGCACATGCCACCCAGAATACAGTCCAGGCATGCCATGGCATGTGTGTACATGCCACCCAGTGGCAACGGGTTAAATATAAAAAAAATATCAAAATAGCAAAGGCAGATTACGACACCATTTTTACTTCAAAACTGTAAATATTTTGAACAGAGTAGCATATATCAATATTCCTCTAACAATCAAAACCACACAAGATTTTGTAATTTCTATTTATAAACAGTTAAAATCTTACCAAGAGAATGTCTAACAGGGAAGGTA